ATTCAGGGTTGTGAATGCCTCCTTGCTTTAACTCCTTTGGCGAGCCCCGAAAGTCGTAGCTTAGGATCCATTGTAAAATCATGACAAAACAAAGATTAAGCCGAGACAGTCGACTCACCAAAAGACATGGCTCCCAAGATGGGAATGGAAACCTTCAAGCCAGAAGCACCGAGTTGGACATAAGTGACCTTTGTGTTGTCCAAGCTCTCTTGGAGCGATCGGGGCAGACCGGCGTCACCCATCTTTGCGTTATAGATATGCTAAGCCGACGGGAGGGTGGATGTGATTGGTGATGACAATGGTGCTATCCCAGCGAATCTCCTTGAATGCTTAGTACACGATTGTCCGAGAGACTCGTGTGCGTGTCGTAGGCGGGGCGGGGAGAGTATACACTAGGTGGAGGGGAGGGAGACAAGTCGATCTCTTTTTTTCCCTTTTCTCTTTAACCCTGGGGGTATCTGGGAGCAGCAGCCACGAATATATACCCTCGTACCTCGCTCTGTCAGCGGAGGGATGCCGGCCGGTCGAATGAATTCAGGATAAATGTCGAGGTCCGGGAATGGGCTAACGAAAGGCACGGGCATCGACGCCGCGCAGTTTGGCGTGTTTTGAGGACCATTGAGAAATCTCGCGGTCAGGGCATTGGATTGTGCCATCATTTGTCGCGGTCTTGTTGCCCCGCAGTGATTTTTCGGCTAAGACAATGCCATTCTTGTCTACCGGTTCGGTCGGGGGAGCCCTCGGGACGTTGGAGAAAAGGTACTTGGGAGTGAGGACGGTCCAGTGAGAGAGCTGCAATCGATCGATGGGATGAGCTGCGGCAAGAGTTGAAGGCGTGGGTGGCACGGATTCGGTATTAGCGGACTTAGGTCGAGATAAAATCCATCTGCTCACCGGCTCATTAGCCGTCGAAACTCAGTCAGTCGGTGTTGTTGAATCATGACATGGATCGAGGCATGGGATGGATGATGGATGGTGGATGGTGGACGAAGGAGGGGTGGAGGGGTGGATGGATGGATTTGATAGACATGGAAGTAGTGATTCGTGGGTGGGTAACAATCCACCGCTCAATGATCATGATGGGCATTGTGGTTGACATCGCAGGGGAAAAGAGAAACACATGCACAGGCGTAGGCGACATTCTTCTTGCTTGAAGCCAATACAACGCCCCCTCCCCCAAGATGATCTGATAAACTACTTGTACTCCCAATGCTCAACCTCAATACTTATGTAGCTAGTGTTACAGGTGCATCGGTAAAGGCAGAGACGAGCAAAACTCCCCTTTCGTCCATTTCCCCAAAACTAAACCAACCACAAACACCAAGTCCTCCCTTTATACCTCGTAGTCGGAGCCTCTTCAATCTTGTCGGTATGCAAAATCCCTAGACCATATCATAACATGATCAACGTGTCGTTCCCTTGGTCATATCTCATTCTCCAGTAGCGTTTATGCCTGTGCCAGTTTATCATCTGTGCCCGATCAAATCCATTGCATCTTCTTCCTCCTCGCCCTCTTCGTCCTCCATAGGCTCGTCACGCTCACTCTCAGAGTCGGACCCGGACTCCGAATCAGCCTTCGCAGCGACTGGTTGCCGAGGTGAATTGGGCCGACCCCAGAAATCAAGATCGTCGTCATCCTCGTCATCATCCACCGACGTGGTTCTGCGTTGAGGTGTTTCCGGAGTGCTTACTGCTCGTTGCCCAGTTCCAAAGTAACTCCCAACGACCGGGGAGACAGATCGCGCTGAGCGAGCTGTGGGGGAGTGAGGCAGAAGCCAAGACGACCGACTTCTGGGAGTATTGGACGCCGTGCCTATATCGACAGCACTTGGGACGGCTTCATTTGATGCTCTCACTATGTCCACAGGTTGCGTCCCTTGCTCGGTCGGGGTTTGGCTCTGACTTGCTGTCAGGGCAGCTTCAGAGGTTCCCGCTTGCTGTGCTCGTTCCTGTTGTTCCTGCAGTTGTGGGGTTTCTTCAGCCCCAAGAAGCTCCAGCTGAGTGGTATTGTACGACTCGCAGATGGTGCATTTCAGGCCGAGCCAGTGATACTTGGTCACACTGCGGCTATTGCAATCGTTGCAAAATATATAGGCTCGTTTGTCTCGATACTCTTCCGGCATCGGCTGTTCTTCAATGTGCCGGTCCAGGCGCCGGAATTGGCTCTCCATATTGGCAATACTCTTGGAACAAATGGGACATTTGTAGCTGGTGTTACACCATTCCGAAAAGCAAGACTCGTGGATGCTGTGGCCGCAACGCATGAACGCAACCGGTTTATTCGAGGTAAACATATATTCGCCGCAGATGGGGCAGTCGGATTTGGTACTCTTTTCAATGCACTTGTGAGTGCTTTCGGCCTGGATGGACATGCAAGCAGCACATGTCTTGCAGTGGAAAAAGTCCTTGCCTAGGCCTTCGCCGAGTCGGCAGATACCACAGTCGTCACAGTGATAAATGGACTTTTCGGGATCATTGTTCCACAATATACAGATGGGACAGTAATAGCACGCCGTTTGAACCTGACACGTCTTGCAGAACTGCCCAACTGGTTGTGGGGTGTTGCAAAGCATGCACAGCATGTGTTTGGTTTCTCGACGTGGCAGAGTATGGTTTTCGGCGTCGTCGTGGCATAGTCGGCAGGTATACCATCTTTCGCACAGGTTGCATTGCATCTTGACATTTCGCTTGTAGTGGACGCAGCCAAGCATCGGTCGAGATATTTCACCCGACGACTCCATGTCATCGGGGTCAAGAGGCGCATAGGTCGGCACGAGGGCTTCTGGCGTGATGTTATAGTTGATCTCCTGGCCGGCTCCCGAGATGGTCGAGCTTGGTGAAGCCGGTATTTGGGATGTGTCTAGCGCTTTAGACAACATGCCTTTGCCGGCGAGACCCTTCTGATACCCTTCCATCATCAAGGCATGAACAAGTCTTGACTTATCGGCAGCCGTACCAGGTCCTGACCACACAGCGTTGATCTTCTGTCTGAGAGCGCCCATACCATCGTCCTCTGGCAGAGTTCCCGATCCATCCCTCCTCCGGCCGGCGCTGCCGCCATTCTCTTGTACATCTTGTGTGGGCGCCACGTCTGCGGCTCTTGACAAATTCCTCAGGGGGTCCGATGCTGCATGAGGCCGTGCGCTGTCCTGGTGTGCACGAGACCGGTACGGTAACTCATTTGCAGGATTCAGGGAGGTTTCGCTGTCCGATCGAAGGTCTTGGAGAGCGACGGGGCGCGACAGCTGAGAAGAGTCGGGCTCGAGGTGAGGAAACTCAGTGGTCGAAGGCTCTGGCCGAAGAGAAGGTTCGGATGACGGTCGTCTTGACTCGTCCTCGGGCTCTAACGGAGGGGAGGGAATGGAGTCGAAGCTGTTCAGCTGATTGGCCCATAGTTGGATCGTCCTGGCAATGGACTGCACAGTGGTCTCTCTGTGCTCTGACTCTGGCTCGACCGCGGGGTCTTCCAGTGCAGGCGGAGGGGAGGTGTTCCAGAGACGAGAGGGGCTCCAGCGTTGTAGGTCGGGCACAGCAGGGAAGAGACCAGGTGAGTCTTCAGTGGTGCCGCTGAGGCGGGAGAATCGCCTCGCTTGGCGCAGGACAGGTTCGACAATGAACGAGGGGAGATATTCACTCATTGAAGCCGAGAGATAAGCATGCTACGGATGGATTTGAATGTGGCAGCCTGGAGGTTGTCGGTGTCTTGACCTAGACAAATAGGAAGGGCAGACGACCAGGATTTCAAGGCCTAGAATTACTGCAGAAGGCAAAGAGCAGAGGAAATACGGGGAAAGGGGGCCATTGGTGCCATGGAGAGGGCGCAGTCTGACGTCGTGGGGGAGGAGGATGACTGGTACTGCGATGACTGCGGTTCAGTCGGATGACATGTGAGACTGTCCCGTCGTTCTGGCACGTGCGTCAATATATTACAGCCTCGTCAGCTACTAGCCTCGGGGCTCAAGGCCGAGTATCAAACGAGGTGGTTTTGGAAATTTATAGATTGTGAGCACGAGTATAGTAGTACTTGAGTACTTAACTGACTATTTACCTTGTTTATGATACTACTACCTTGACTTAAGTTACTTAATATTAACTTATACTATAGGTTTGTATATTATAAGGGGAGCTTTCCATCCACAAAGTTAACTATTGAGAACCATTAAAATTCTGCCGTACCTATCCTCCTACTCCTATACATAAAGCCCTAATGCCCACAATCAAAATAAATACACTCAAGAATAAAAAGTTACCACCGACAAAAAACTTTTTCCATCTACCCCTGTCGGAGGGGGTTATGGGAAGTGAAACCTTGCGGGTTGCAGGTTTTTCCGTCCATTCGGTCGGTTCGCTCGATCGTTCGCTTGGTGAGTTCGCTCGCTCGATCGTTCGCTTGGTGAGTTCGCTCGCTCGATTCAATCGTCCGGAGTTGTTTCGCTCGATCGCTCGCTCGCTCGATTCGCTCGGCCGGTTCGTTCAGTCGAAGGTCGTCGGTTCGATTCCAGACAATGTCGCCTACCAGCTCAGAGCTAGTTGTTGATAATCGAAGATATCATGGCATGCCTGGGATTCGTACTGGCTCGTTCGATCGAAGGAGGAGGAGGAATCGCCTCCTAGAAAGCTGCCGCGTCACTTTGTTGAATTCGATTTCGGTCGAAGTGATTTGGCTCGGACTCTCTAGGTAGGGGTCTTGGTGTTGTGAACAAATTCTCGGGATTCAATATATATCCTTGAATTTTCTGGACCATTGGACCCAGTTTTTTTTCTGCCGGACACGTCGACAGCCATTGTACATGGTACATTGCTTCTGAGATGCTAATGCTTCTGCCTCGCCAAGGCCAGTTGGTGTTCCCTTCCATACATCCTCGAGGCTTCATGGGTTGCCGACGGGCCTCAGACATCGCTCTCCGTAGTGCTCGTGTTGCCAGATCATGGCAACGGGTATCCAGCACGCAGACGCTGACCTTGTCCTTGACCTCTCCCTGGATTGCTTGCCGATAGACTCATTCATCTTCCTCCTTTGCAGTAGCTTCCAGATCACGCAGAGTTTCTTCAATTTCATTTGGTTCCGTGATGGACCAGACACCTCCCCCTTTTGCAGAGGAACGGCCAACCTCTTTCGAGACAAGATTGCGTCCAACCTTTCCAGGCCCTAGTCCAAGCCACCGGCGGCATCCAGCCTCTCGATCTAAATATTTGATCGAATCCCACCAGAGGACAGTGTCAACAGCCTGCCTTGCAAGGTTCTTTATCAAATCATCTTTCGACGCAAAAGGCTTAGCAGTGACGTTGCTGATGCAGGGGACACGACCGGGAAAGGTCACCTTCTCGGGGACGAGAGCCTTCTTCATGAATTCGTATGCCGGCATCATGATTGGACTGTGAAAAGCTGAGCGCGACTTCAACTCAACAGCTCGGGGATCATGGCCGCCAAATTCTCGTATGTGGATCAGCAGATTCCGTATCCGCTGGAAGCTGCCGCTGAGCACGATCTGGTTCTTGGAGTTGATATTGGCAATGGCAATCTGTTGAAATGCCGGCAGAGCACTGGAGTCGTCCTTTGCGCCCTCGGAGCCCTGGCTCAGGAATTCTCGGACGGCTGCGATCAACGAGTCGAGCTGCTCTGGCTCGCACACCAGGGCAATCATGCCGAAATCCTCGCCCGATTCCTCTTTTGCTTTTCTCGTACATTCTCCCATAACGTCCCCACGTCTCCGGACGAGGTCGAGTCCATATGCATACTCCAAATTCCCGGCGGCAACTAGTGCTGCATATTCGCCTAGGCTATGTCCCAATGTGACATCGATCACTTGCTCCGTCTTGAAGCCAAAGTCTTTCTCGAGGACCTTCAAGATCATGATGGACACGGCCATTATTGCAGGCTGGGCATTTTCCGTCTTGTCCAGCTGCAGGATGGGCCCCTCGTCGATCAGAGTGGACAGCTTGCAATGCAATATATCATCCATCTCTTCTAAAAATGGTTTGCACGTTCGGGGAAAAGCTTCGACCCAAGGTCGTGTCATGCCTTTCCGCTGCACGCCATGACCAGGGAAGAAAAGGGCTGTCCGAAGAACAGGTTCCGAACTCGAGGTATACGTCCTTGATATCTGCAAAGCGTGGAGATGTCGTATGACCCCCGAGAGGGCTATTCGTGGAGGTCGATACATGAGTGCGGGGGGTCTTGGGTGTGACGGAACTCGCTTTGCTATAGGGAAGGTCGCCTCAACAACATGATGATGAACTGGCGGTTGGGAGAGAAGGACGACTCTTGAACTATACCTGACGACCAAGGTAATTGACCAGGCTGGACGATGGGAACGAAAACACGTCCAGCTCAATTATCGTTGACGCAGTTCCGTGAGTCCGGGCAAGCGAGCAGTCTTTTCGCTATTAGCTACCTGGAGGTAATAACTGGCTGGCCTGGGTAAAGTTATTGGGGGCTCCAGCTGGGGACTAGAGACTTCCATGCCTACCCTTGGCCTACGCATCTCGGCATGCCTCGGCCGTCCGGAACAAATATTATCCGTCAAGCTTTACGGCTTCCCACAACGACTGTACGGATGAGGGTCTCTCCAAACTCTCATCAGAACCTCATTCATCCATTATGTACCTCATACAGGCAAATAAACACATACTCACAGACATATTATACAGTTCCGATTCCACTTGACCTTTCTTTCCTCTTGTAACAACCCGCTGTGATGTCTAGCAAAGAGTTCCTCCTTTTCATTTCTTGATCGTGGTCACATTTGCCCAAACCATTTACATTTTGGTCCCATCAGTCATTGTGAGAATGCGAATGTGTACGCTCGGATTTGTCTTCCATCTCAATGGCACTTATATCTGAGTCGGCGTAGTTGATAATGGCACCGGAACGAACCTCGATTGTGGTTTTGGCCGTGATGACCCCTTCCGGGTGTCTTGCAAAGTGGTATTCATCCGACTGTCGCGAGCGAGGCGGGCGTGGCGTACTTCGGCCCAGGAAATCGCGCTTATCACGCCGTCGAGTAGTAGGGTCGCCTAGAGGGCCACTGATGGTCGTCCTCGTTCCCCAAAAATTGTCACCGACGTCCTTCCAGCCGAAGGTATCGAGACCCAAGTCTTGAGGAGGCGGAGGTGCTCGGCCAAATATCAAGACGTGCCTGGTCACTGCGTAGAGTACAACATCCAGCCATCCACAGGAGCTGATAGCGGCCCCGGCCAAGCAGAACCACCCTACTATCGTCAATCATGGAGGTCACTGCGGCTGCGAGGAAAAAGACTTACAATATGGAACCGACACCCCCGTCATCGCGGCCATTCGACCTCCCGCGAGTGGCAACGTGCAAACAACGTAGACCACAGGATAGATGATCATGTACTTCGCAGCACGTTTCGTAGCAGCAGGGTCAGTGCCATCGTCATTGGGGAAATTCGGATCCGACCTGCTCCGTGACTTGGCTTTGATGTAGGCGAAAATGAGTATATACGTGACAACAGTCCCAAACATGCAGACGAAGATCCAAAAGTAGTGAAGCCACAGTCGTTCTTTGTCGTATCTCTTGTCAATCCAGCACTTTCGAGTCGTCAGCTTGGTTGAGGCCATCAAGGGCCCAGGCACGTACCCATGCTCCCGCTCGGACGTATATCTTGGAATTTATACCAACTCCAATGATAGCCATCACATAGACAAAGATCCATAAACAGATGATGCCCCCACAGAACACCTTGTTTCCCACACGCCCGCCCCTCACCACGGCGTAGTATGTGTGCAAGGCAATGGCGAGGATGAAGACCCCAGAAGCAAGGTCGCCGGTCGAAACGAACCACCCATTCGCCCAGCAAGTCGTGGTTCCCACTTGGATTTTATCCTGGGAGAGATATACCGACGTTAGCGCGAATGCCATAGCTTGCTGAATGTCTGCCAGCACCAAATTGTAGATGAGGAGGAGGAATTGGTTGGCGCCATCTTTGAGTTGGCCTCTGTGATACCATACACAGAGTCGATACGTCAGGAAGGTGAAGAGAGCGACACTGGAGATGAGAGAAAGAGTCCCAAAGAATGCTACCGCGACCAGCCCGTGCCGCAAGACTGGAGGCAAAGGCTCCAACGTGGTGGATAGGGAGACCGACGAGGTTGCGGCCATTGTGGCCTTGGTCAACAGATTGACAGCTGGTTCAACTTACAGAGGGATACGAGGGAGACACCTAATAGATGTATACCAGCTGGGCACTGGCATGGTACCCCGGCACCAGTTGGACCGATGCACTTCAACAATCACAAGCAGCACCGGGTCCTCCGCCATGGAAAGGGAAAGTGCAAACTCCCCCGAATGATTAGATGGTGGGTGGACGCGAGAGTGGAAAGGAATCATGGCCTGGCCTGGACTTCGCGCCTGTGAATAGTCACCGTCCTGCAAGGGCACGTTTCACGCCGTGCAAGGATTGTACTCGTCGGAACGGCGGCGTGACACCATGCCAGTGGAGTAGGACAAGATACCGAGTACTCTGCAGCGAACCGAGCACAAGCACGTGTACCTACCGAGTAGTTGGACCTCTGTGCTATCCTGGAGTACGAGTACGACTAGGACCAACTCGCCGAATACTGGTAGGCCATCTCTTTCGTCAATTTTAGTGTAGGATTCAAAGCGAAAGGGGTTGAGAGTGTGAGTGGGGGGAAAGGTACCTGTACCAATTGTATTTGCATCAAGAGGATGTCTCTTCTCGCGTGGAAGCCGCCTGGTACCTCGTTAATCTTTTCTAGGTAAAGCGCCGACGCAGAAGTGCAATTTTTCTGGATGCTACCCCAGGTCACAACTAAGGAGGACCGCCCCTTTCCTCGCCTCCGCGAACTCGATGAGGAACCCAAAGTATTGAGAACGAGAAGAAAGCTCAGGCGCTCCTCGATGAAGAGGCTCGTGGGGTCCTGTAGAGCGGTTGCGTCTCACAAGCGCGCAGTGGAATGACGACACCATGCTCCGTCAATTACGTTTGTAATGTAGCACAGCCGAGAAAACAGCGGACAAGCTGGCAGTCCGAATCACAATGCTGCTTGCGGCTAAGAGTCTTGGTATTCAGAAAGTCCAGCCTCCTGTTGTTTGGTTGGTCTGCAGAAAAGACAATTTGAGACAAGGACGAGTGACGATAGCCTGTACAAGTGCTTGGAGCACTCAGCAACATCGGGGAGAGCGAGATGGGTGATTCCTTCGCGAGAAAGAAGCCGCAAAATACACGTAAAATTTTTGGCAGACCCGCTGCGTCCCCTGGTGCATTTGCACCAGCCCGTCGACGGCATGTCCCGCTGTCGAGGGGAACATGGCTTAGCTGACAACCCATGTACAAACGTCCAAATGAAGTAAAGAGTAAAAGAAGGTGCCTGCAACGCTGTGGCGTCCACGAGGAGAGGAGGATACGAGTCTGTACCGAGTACTTTGTAGGCTACGCCGCCGGAGGCTCTGCCCAATGCATATCTCCTTCGCAGTGGAGCCCGCAGTCCTTGTACTTGTACAGGAAGAAACAGGCGGACTTGCCGCTGGTGATTGGCATGAGGGGTATGTACTCGTATGTAGGTAGTCGAAGCCGCCAGGGGTATGTTTGTCCTTTTCCTCCTGTCCTCGTATACCAAGCACCTCGTGCTTGTGCTAGTAGCGTTGCGGTGCGCATGCCACGGCCCGCTTATCCTACTCTTGACAATTCAGAGGCCCATTGTCTTCAGGCTGTCCTCGGACTCGTTGTTGTATGTTGAGTTGCAGGAAGGACTCGAGGACATCGGCCAGTTCCCGAATAGCAACAAGGATGCTGATGTTCACGAGATTGTGTCCTGTACATGCTTGTTCCTTGTCTACCCATATTGCGCAGATATTCTACGCATTTGTTCCACAAGCCGTGCAGGCTGTTGTTACTTGGTGGTAAGGTATCATGGAATTGCATCTCAGGGCATGCGAGGCTGTGTATCCGAAGAGCCACCCTTTCAGAAGTTCCTCCATTGAGCATAGAAAATCACCAAGCATTTCACTCACCAACATTTTCTCGTGGTGTGACTTCCAACCACAGCTCTTTTTCTAGTTAATATGCTCTGTACGTAAAATAGAGGTGGCCACCGGTGTGCTCGTTCTAGATTGTCCCACTGGAGACCAAGTAGTCTTGAGTCTTGACTGAAGTTGAGGCTGTAGGAAGATTCAGTCCAGGGTCTGATGACCCAATCTACGCCGTACCGAGTTCTTTGGCAGGGATCCCGATGAATCATTCGAAGACTCAGCATTGTGCCCAATCTTCTTTGACATTGCCAGTCATGTTGATGGGCTGAAGGGAGATTGGGCTCGCATTGTTGATTGTCCGCAATATCAAGTGCCCATTCTGCCCAAGGGTGCCTATGAACACCACAGTCAGCGAACATTTACTAGTTTTCCTGCGGGAAGCATGACAGGTATTGGTGACTGGGTCAGATCAAGTGTAAAATGAATGTTCCGCATCAAGACTTTGAAGCATCTTTCAGAATTGCAGAATTCACATGGAAAATCATCAGATGCAGGACATGCAGAGATGAAGGAATCCCGGGGGAAACGTACTTTGAGGGTTGATGGGATGTTGTCGAGATAGATGAGACAGAAAAGGATGAAGAGAACTGGTCATGCCCGAATGCATCTATGTTCATCAACCTTGTCATCCATCGTCACAAACAGCACCAACACCAAAATCCTCCTCTTCCTCATCAGGGCACTTCAAAGTGCAAATAGACAAATTAAGAAAATGAAATGCGTGTGCCGAGAAGATTCGGCCAAGTGGTGCCGTTGCCGTGGCCACCCAGAAAAGTCCACAAAGCTGGGCTCTGCGTGGCTCTGGTAGACGCATTCGCCAGCTGAATGCAGGCACCTTTCACTTTCTCATCTGCCAAAGTGTTTGTATTTGATCGTTGTGAAGCAGGCCATCTTTGTCTTTGATTGTCAATATTGATCTGTTCCGTTGGGTTCAAATACTGCCCTCTGCA